CACACACACACACACACACACACACACACACACACACCCCCGCTAAGGACAGAACCCTAGAAGACCATTCATGTGTTAGGGGTGAGATGAAGAACTAGAAAAGAAAGGAGTAGTTAGACATGTAAGAGAAACTATGAATATGATATCATAGCCAAGGGAAGAAAGAATCCCAGATGTGGTCACAGCCAACAGGGTTAAATGTCATAGACAGACAAAAACTGATGAGTTGTCCCCTGGTAGAATGTAAGCTTCTCAAAGGCAAGGACTGTTTCTTTTTCATATTTGTATCCAAAGTGACTTTAACATAGTAAGTACTTAATAAATTTGCTTACTGAATTCAAATGAGAACTAAAAAAAAAGATCATTTCATTTATTGAGTACCTACTATACATACTATACTCTGTGTATGGTAAGATAATCAGATATGAAGACATAAATAAAACATTGCCTTCCTTAGCATTTACTAAAGTAAAAACAAAAAAGACTTGTACAAAAATAACTACAATAAAAAGGGGGAAAGTACACAGTAAGAATGATACACAGAATGTGCCAAATCACTAATAAGAGAAATGAAAATCAAAATACCCCGAAGGTTTTACTGTAGACCCAGGAAATTGGTCAAAGTGACAAAAGACAAGAATAATCAAAGATGGAGGGGTTGTGGAAAGACAAGCATGCTAATGCATTATTGGTAAAGCTGCAAACTGGAACAACTATACTGAAAACAATTTGGAATTATACACATAAAGTGATTAAAATGTCCGTACCCTTTGACCCAAATATTCCACTGCCAGTCATATACCCCAAGGAGGTCAATGACAAAAAGAAGGTTCCACATACACCAAAATATCTACAGCAGCACTTCCGGTGGTAGCAAGGAACTGAAAACAAAGTGGATGTCCATCAGTTGGAGAATGACTAAACAAAATGTGGTAGATGACTATAACGGAATGTTACTGTACTATAAGAAACAACAAACACGATGAATACAAAGAAGAATGAGAAGACTTATATGAACTGATGCAAAATGAAGTAATTAGAGCCAGGAAAATAACATACAAAATGACTGCAATAATACAGATGGAAAGAACAACCACTACAAAACAAATAAATGAGAAAGTATAAAGTACAAGCTTGGGCCCAAGGAAGAGATATGAGAAGATATCTCAGCTTGCTCCTTTGCAGAATGGGAGGGATTTCATGGACGTGAACACTGTGTATGACATCAGATTTTTTTTGATGCATGGATCAGTTCTGCTTGACTTTTTTTTCCCTTCTTCCTCTTTTTTTTTTTTAATCTTCATGATGGGAGAGAGGAGAAGGGGGTATAGAGAGAGAAATCTGATATAAAAGCAAGAGATATTAATAAAATTCTCTTTAAAAAAAGGAATGATACAAAGGAAGTGCTAAATGTAGAAGAAGAAGAGATTTTTCTTTGGTCATAGTTATCAGGAAAGACTTCATGTGAAAGGTTACTGGCAGGCTGATTTTGGCCTTTAAGGATATGTAGGATTTTGATAGTTAAAGAGGGAAGAGTAATGAGAATGTTCTTGGTAGAGAGGAATAGAAAAAGCATAGAGAAAGAAAAGAATAAGATTTAGATAGAGAAGAGTAAATAATCTGACTTGGTTGGACAGTAAGGTACACGTAGGGGTGTAGTTGAAAATAATGGCTAGAAAGGTAGATTAGAGTTAGATTGTCAAAGACTTTGAATGCCAGGACCTCTTCTGGTAGGCAAAGGGGAGTCATTCAAGATTTATATACAAGATTTATATACATGATCAAAATAGTACTACAGAAATAGTAAGGATGAATTAGTAAGGGAAGAGACTGGAGATAGAGAAGTTAAAAAGCTATTCAAATCACCCAGAGGAGGGTTAATAGTGAGAATGGAAAGGAAGTTGTGATTAGGAAAGTACATGAAAGACTACTCCACAAAACCAGGAATGATGACAGATGTGGAAATCACAGAGAGGGTGGGGCTGAAAATGGCTCAGCAGTTTTGAACCTAGCTAACTGGGAGAATGGCAGCATTGTTAGCACCTATTACGGAAGTAAGGATGATGAACTTTTTGAGAAGGAGATAATGAGTTAGTTTTAGATAGGCTGGGTATGAGTGAAGTAAGATGGCACTGGGGCATCCAAGCAGAAATGCCAATCAAACAAAAATGTAAGAATGGAACTTGGGAGTCAACCATAAATAAGAGATAGCTAAAGCCATGGGAGTCAATAAGATCACTCAGAGTATGTATAGGAAGATGAGAGAACCTGGGAAAAGTCCTCATTTAGCTTGGGAAAGGAGGAAAAAGAGTTAGCAAAGGATACAGAGAAATAATAGCCAGGGGGAAAGAAAACTTCCTGTTGTGAAAATCAAATAGAATTTTCAAATGCTACTGACAAGTCAATAAAGATTTTATTAAACGCTGTCAGCAGGTCAAAAAGAATGAAGAATAAAAAAAAAGTTACTAGATTACTTATTGGTTATTTGGCTCAGGTGGAATATGGGAGACTGCTCATAGCTTGAAACCTATCATGATTAACCTTATTTCACTTTGATAACTCTTGGATGCTCAGTACTTAGCTATTAAGTCTGTACAGTTTTGCACTGCTTAATTTTAGGTGTGTAATTCCTTTCTTTGTGATTAGGCTGTAAACTTTTGGGGGCATGATTTCTTGCTCTTGAGGGCAGAGTCATCTAATTTCTCTTACATTCTCTTCTGGAACCTATTACAATACTCTTAACACAGAAGGTGCTCAATCATACTTACATATGTCCTCTATAGCTAGCTGCCTCAGCTACAAAATTGAAATGAAAAAACATCTTGTATGGAAGAAGAAGAAAAATAATTACGGCTTGATACCTTGTTGGAGTCTGTGTTGGGTACAGAAATAGTTAATTCTTAGTTTTAATGAAGCTAAGATCAACCTTATATGAGTCAGTTTCATTCCATAACCACAAAATGCAACCTTAATACTGGGCTGTTTTATTGAAAAAAAAGTCTACAAACGTTCATGAGGAAACCTATCAAGAATGTGGATAGATTTGGTTATAGAACCAAACAATATTCTCAGTAGTATTCTCTTTTTTTTTTTTTACTTTTTGAATCCCTTCTCAACTCTGTGTGCAGAGTGCAAAAGTAAGTGACTTGGTTGGGGTTTAAGTAGATACTGAAGAGAAAAGTTTGGATGTGACAATAGTCCTGAGCACTATACCAAAGCAAAAAGGTGCTTTTCTAGGTACCTATGAGGTCACAGAATCTTATAGCTAGTAGGGACCTGAGAGATCATTTGGTTTAACCTCCCATTCAAATCAAGAACTTTCTCTACATTATCACTCTCAGGTTGAAGATTTCTAGAGAGGGGAGTTCACTCTTTTGTGAGTTCCAATCTGCCAAGTCTAGGGGAAACCTCTGAGACCTCTGCCTCCACAGCATATACTTTTATAGTCTTATCTGGGTATTTTTCTCCCATCCTCTCAAATTTCAGTTTCAAACCTCTTGGTAAAATCAATAAGTCTTCTGCCAAATATTACTCCCAGTTTTAGTAATATATCTATTTCTTTTCTTGTCAGGAAACCATAATTTTAGAATTCTAAGTCATGATCTAGAACACTAAATCTTATTCCTTGATGCTATAGAAGTAGACAGCTATTCACTTCCCATATGATCTTTTTTTTCTTCCAAAGAAAAACAATTTTACTCAATTGAAAGAAATTAAAAAACTCGCACCATACTTGCTCGCATTTCCTACTCAAGACTTACATGCTGATATACTCTAGATTCTTGTGATATTAATTCCACATAAATCAGCAAAAGCAATCGATGAGCTGGATAAGTTTTGGAAGGCTGTCCGATATGTTTCAGATATAGGCAACGGCAAGCCAGCAAAAACAGCCTATTTTCCATGTCATTTATATGTAGCCTTCACTGAGGACAAACCCCCCTATTTACTGGGGCTGGTAATAAAATTCTTTGTGACTGTTAGTGCCTGTGACTCTTCTATTAGTTCACTGCTGCACCTGACATTGTTAACACCCTCCCTCATGGATATTCACTCCTCTCAGAGACTTCATGACATGACTCACTCCCAATTTTCCTCATATCTGACCACTCCTTGTCAGTCTTTTGCTCATCATCCATATTGTGTCCCCGAACTGTGACTTCTGTTCTGGACCCTTTTCTTTGGTAACTCCATTACTTCCCATGGGTTTAATTATTATCCCTAAGCAGATCATCTCAAGATCTACATATCTAGCCTATCTCTCTTCTGAGCTCTTGCCCCTCTGTTTAACTTTTAAAGCCCTTCACAACCTGAACCCAACCTATTTCTCCAGTCTCATTATACATGATTCTCCTTCCCACATTCCAGGGTGGGTCCAATCAAGGTCTTTCTTTGTTCTTCATTTGTGGCACTCCATTATCCATCTCTACAACTTTGCCCTGGTTGTCCCTCTTGCCTAAAATGCAGTCACTCTTCAGTGAGGCCTCACAGAATCCATTTCCTTCAAGATGCAGCTCAAGCATTTCATTCTTCATGAAGCTTTTCCTGATCCCAAGTACTAGCGCTCTCCTTCCCTATCTTTTGTTAATTTTGTCTTTAATCTGTATATAAGTTATTCTACATATATATATATAGGTACATGCATACATATATGCATATATACACACATCTCCTTCCAAAGAAGGGAGCAGTATTCCTTGAGAGTAGTGATTATTTCATTTTTTCATCTTTGTAATCTCAACATTTAGCACAATGACTGGTACATAGTAAGCACTCAAAACAACAATATGTTGAATGATTGAAAGACCTTACATTCATTATATAAGCACTAAGCAACAGTAATCAGTCAGTTGACTGGCTGTGAAATGACAAGGTTGGACTAAGTGATCCCTGAGTTCTAGCTTTAAGATTTGATTCAGTGAATACAGGACTTCAATAAACAGACAGTTAGCCTAGAGGTACTTACATCCCGGAACTGAACCTTCCCAAGTTCCCCCAATTCACTGACACAACAATAAGCAGCTTCAGATTGTAGGAAAAGCTGTGCCAATGTCATCTCTTCACTTCGGAAAAGCTCCCCCATGTTGGCAGGGAAGTTTCAGCAACTAAATAACTGAGTTTTGTTGATCTGAAACAGAAAAATAGAACGTTGTCCTGGAAATTACTAAGGCAAGGAGCACAAACTAGCCCAGCACAATTATTATTGCTTTGTTCCCTTCTCTCCTCCTCAGTCTGTTACATTTGTTTTTATATCCTGTCTTGAAAGTCAGAAAAGAAGAAGGAACAGAGACAGTTATGAAAACCTGTGCTGTATGAATGTTACTTCCTATGTAGCCAACATCAGGATCAAATGGCAAAGTCTTGTGACTAATATAAGAAAACACTGGAGGGATGCATCTAGCTTAGGAATGCTTATAATTAAGAGCTACTGAATACTACCTCTACAAACTTTTCTTTAAGTATGCCAATAGAAATATTATATTCTCAAATTGTGTCACAGTATCTAAATCTCATTTCAACTGGATTGTAACCAAAACAGGAAAACATCTTCATTCCACTGACCAAAAAGAATTGGTAGTTTTTTCCCTACACTTTACTAATAATGCCTACCTTGATTAACAGAGATCTTTATGCTTCCAAAAACAATGGTTGTATTAAAGCAGAAGTTAAAGATACTATCTTATAAACTCTTAAGAAAAAAGAAAATCATCTACGCCCTCAGATGCACACTTTTTTTTTTTAAAGGAGGCCTTTTGCTTAAACCACTAACTACAAAAAAGAACCATCTTGAAGGTTAAGGAGAAGCACTTCGAAAAGACATGCCTAAATGGGAACAGACTGATTAATGAAAATGTGTCTTTATTGGACCAGATGGTTCAAGTTCCCCACACTCCCAATGAAGCAGTCTAAAATTGTTTTGCAAACTAAAATATATTCTGCCATCTATCAAACTACCTTACAATTCAAGAAAGGTTTCACTTTTATGCAAGCTTCAGATTAGGAGGTATCAAAGACAACTGGAGCTATCAGTGGTCCTGAAATGGTTATTTTTAAAATCCCATAACAATCACTATGGCCACACAGTGTGGGGTACTTCAGTCCAATATGCTAAATTTTAAAATCTCATGATTACTTCCTCATTCTGTATTGCAAAACAGCACTTAAGGGAGATAGACTTTCTTGGAGAAGCCTTGAAGAACATACCTGAATAGCTTTTCAGAAAAATATTTCCAGGTATTTTGTCATTTTGATGTAGGAGTCAGCCTGAAATACCCCAGACATACATTTCTGCAAGAGTTCTCCAGAAAGTTCTTCACCTCAGTCACTCCATCACCCATTTCTGTAACTTTAGTCTGATTGAGCCCATGTAAGCTCCCTAATAACCTCAAGGTCCAGTATCTTGCTTCTCAGCACGTCAACACTCAAACCCTCCAAGGATAGCTCGTTGCTGGTCATTTTGTCTTCTCTCTGCATCTCCTCCCCTCCCCATACACTCTAAAGGGTCTTGGATTTTTTGACCTCTAAACACACTAACGGTTTTAAAACTACCTCCTAGGCCTACCCGAAGGAGGATGGACCTACCTGGAAAGGACTGAGTTTACCAGTGGAATTTGAGTCCAGGAGCCTCCCCCTCCCCCTCCCCCTCTCCCATCCAAGATGGGAGTACTTGTCACCCAGATCAGCCCTTTCCCAATGCAGTCAGTCAGCCAGACTGGAAGAAGAGTCTTGGGCGGGGAGGGGGAGGGAAGGGGAGGGGAGGGGAGGGGAGGGGGGTGCTACAGAGGCGTCTCCTTCTGAATCCATTATGCACCTGTCAACAAGGGCATCGTTTGTCTGGGTCCTTCCCCTAGCTATTTGGGGGTTGGAAGGAAGAGAACATGGGGCTTTTGTGTGAATATAGTTCGAAAATTAATTTGCTTGGGAACAAAAACGACTTTCCCTATGAAACCATCTCGGTCTCCTTAAGTTGGGGGTGGGGGGAGGCAAGAAAGAAAGAGGGAGAGAGGGGGAGCAAAGGGTGAAAGGGCAAAGAGGGGAATGGGAAACGTAGTGGGAAGAGGGTGGCAAGGTGGGGTGGCAGGATGGAGAGGGTCTCCCCGTCGGAGCCCAGGGGCTTGGCGCCCCACCATCATCCCTCGGCGTCTCCAAGCTCCTTCCGCTCCCTCGTTAGCCCTAGACCCCGCAGGCCCGGGGCCGGTCCGAGGGGTTACCAGCCTTCACTTCCTCGACCCCTCCCCCCACCCCAGGGCCTGTCAGCCCCATCCCCCTAGCTGCCGAGGCGGCGGAGGCGGCCAGAAGAGGGGGCCCCTCAGCTTCACTCGGAGGCCGCCTTTCCACCGCCATTTTACCTATCCTCTGCGGCCGCTTCCTGCCAGTCTCCGCAGCCGCAGCCGCCGCCACCGTTACCGCAGCTACCGCAGAATCACCTACCAGCTTCGGCAGCCCGGCCCCCCTCCCGCGTGCGTGCACGGGCGTGCGTGCGTCACCGCAGCAGACCCCGCCCCTCTCCTCGCCTTCGCCGGGATGTCGCCTTCCCGCTGGCCAATAGGACGCGGCTAAGCGGAGGCTGCCGCAGTGCGGGGTCACGTGCCCGCCTTTTGCCACAGCCCCTCGTGGCTTGGAACCATTTTGTTTCCTCGGTGGGGGAGGAGGAGGGTGAGGTTGGAGGGTTCTTGAAGGAAAAGGTCGGGTTGGGCCTTGAAGGGGCTGGTTATCTGTTATCTGAGTCACCTCACTCGCCCCACCTCGATCTGGCAGCGCAGTCATGAGGCTTCCACTTGCCAGGACAGAGCCTCAAGGGTCAAGCGGTCAGCTGGCAAGCTCCTTGGCCCCTCCGTACGCCCCAAATCATCTGCCTGGGCTAGGGTGTCGCCCTTAGTGCAGTGATGGAAAAGGTCACTGGCGCTCTCCTAAAGCGTGTGAGGCCTAGCGAACTCCAACTGGCAGGGACCTTTGACACCACACAGCCCAGGCGGAGGAAGACCAGGAAGCCTGGAGAAGGGAAGTCTCATCTGCCCAAGACAGCACTAGAACTCAGGTCTTCCCCTCCGTCTCATAAGAATAAACCCACTACAACAAGCCATGACTTTCCAACCCCCAAGCACCTGGGTCACCTCTTCTCTCGTCTATCTCCTGGATAGTTGCTTCAGAGCAAAACCTCTCCTTCAGTCAAATGAATGAAAAAAGAAAAACCACAAAATTACAAGCCACACACAGTTTGAGTCATTTTTCATTTTTGAGGTGGCAGCTTATGGGACCATTTCACCATTGATGTTGGAAAACCTTCAAGGGTAGTTTGTCAAAACCAGAGCCACATGTGGAAAAGCTAGCAGAACTGGTTTCTTCAATCTCAGTGGGTGGCTGAAAGCTGATGACATTTAGGTGTAGTGAGGGAGTTGTTTTTTGTTTGGTTGGTTTTTTTTCCCAGGTAAAAGCAGGATGCCAGTTGAGGAATTGGGAAGCTAGAGCTATAAATTTCCAGTTACCCCACAGAATAACCTTGCTTTAGCTGTCCTGACCCAAAATACCATGTCATGTGCCCCTCTCCTTCCTCAAAAATCTTCAATGGCTCCCTTTTTCCTCTAGGATAAAATAAAAGGTCCCCAGTCTGGCATTTCAAGCTTAATTTCTAATCTGGATTCCTCCCCCTTTCCCCAACTTTATAGTTTTATTTCATAATATTCCCCCTTCATGTGCTCTTTATTCCAGTCAAACTGGCCTGCTAGATTTTCGCCATATAGGACATTCAATTCTTCTGTACCTTTAAAATGCAAATGATAGAACCTTTCCGATAGAGTCTATAGCTTTCCTCAGTTAGATATCACTTACTCAGAAGCCTTTGCTGATCCTATGGATTTATGGATTTCTCCTTGGAATTACTTAGTATATAGTTTATGTTGGTTAACTTGTATATGTTTGAGTCTCCCCAGTTAAATGTAGGCTCAGAAGAGACAAGGACTGTTTTTGCCTTGAATCCATATGCTACGGGGTACCCGTAGCATAGTGCCTTGTATATAGCAGGAACTTAAAACATGTTTGATTCCAAAATATAGTTACTCCACCCTTGTAGATAACAAACCTTCTCATTCTCTACAATTTTTGTTCATGGAGTATTCCATAAGCCTTTAGAAGAGAATCCAATGACATAGGTAAAGGGCTTTTACTATTTCATAGATGCCAGTGCAACTCTTGGCCTGGCCATTAATTATCCCTTGTTCATTTTATATGACCAGCTTATGCCCTTTGTTAGTTACACATGTGTCCTTGATAATTCAGTTCAACAAACATTGAGCACCTCCCGTGTTACAGGCACTTGGTTAGGTGCTAAAGTTACAAAGACAAATACAAAACCATCCCTGCCTTCAAGGAGCTTACATAATACTTGGAGTAAAACACCATGTACACAGCTAAATAAAATATAAAGTTGCTGAATTTTTTGGTTGAGGGGAAATTTGTTGCCCGAATGCTATGGAGGGTGGTGTAGTAAAAAGAACCTTGTATAAGGAGTAATATCTAATAGCAGTTGACATGGAACATTGATTGAACAGTAGCAAACAGAGGAATCAGGAAAGGCCTCCGGAAGTGGCACTTGAATGACTCTTAAAAGGGGATAGAACATCTAGCCATAAAGAGGGAATAGCCTGTGCACATAGGTACAGAAGTGAGAAATACTTTGTTGTGTAGTGGGAACAGTAAAAAGGCTGCTTTGGCTCCAATGTAGAACAATGTTATCAAACTCAGATAGAAAGGGATCCCTGCTGGCTGTGTAGACTTAGAAAACTATAAATTAATATATCTATGTTGTATTTTTATTTATATTTTAAGCATTTCCCAATTACATTTTAATCTGGTTCCTGCACTTCAGAGTTTTGCCTTAAAATGCTTTAAATGACAAACAGAGAAATTGTATTTTATCCTGGAGGTAACAGGGAACCTTGAGCAGAGGAGTGACATGGTTGGACCTGTGCTTTAGGAATAATAAAAGGAGTGTGTAGGTGATAGATTAGAGACAGGAGAGATGAGTCAGCATCACCAAGTAGGAGAGAGATCTTTTCTCCTTTCTCTAGTATGCAATAGCAGTTACTTGCAATAAGATGGTAGTTTCAGAGTTAGAAGGGACTAGAAGTCATTGAGTCCAGCCTCTTCATTTTACAGATAAACTAAGGTGCAGAAATGTTAATACTGTCTAAAGTGAAGTTTGAACCCAAATCTTTCTTCAAGTCCAGTGCCCCATTCACTACAGTTGTCTCCCCTTCGATAATTGGTTTCCATTCTCATAATTTATCAGTGGAGGCAGTTTCTCTTTCTGTCCCTGATAAGATTTTCTTGAATATGGCTCCTTCCTCTGTTTTCAGGCAATGTTACCTTCCCTATCCCATATACCTCTGTCTGTCTCTCTTTCCCCCGGTTTAGAGCTGTAAATGTCTTAGAAAATTCCCTATTGCAAAATAAATGTCATTTCCTTCCTCTTCGTGTAAAACAACTCTGCCTCAGCTAGTTTACCACAAAGTTTTAGATTATCATATAGTTTCACCATTATGAAACAGCATCAGAAATAAGCACTGTCTCACTTTCCAAGAACCTAGACTACATCCAAACCAATCTGAGTTAGATATAAATTTAATAAAAATATGATGACTGGCCAAAAAAATTAATATACTTTCTTCCTTCTTTTTTAGTTTCTATGAGACTCAGTGTTGGACTCAGATAAACACTTAAATGATTCGCCCAGAGTCACAGAGCTAGTGTTATGTGTCTGAAGCCACATTTGAACTCAGGTCCTCCTGACTCCAGAGCTGGTACTCAATCCACTGGGCCACCTCAGCTGTCCCTTTATATTCCCTTCTTAACAGATATGGTTAATGAGTAGGAATTCCATAGAGGAGAGATATTAGAATATTGATGGGGCAATACAAGCTTTACAAAATGACAAATTTGATTTAATTATAACTATAACTAATATTCATGTGGGGCTTTGAAAACTGTAAAGCAGTTTAACTTACACTAGTTGGTGTTTTTTTTTTAATCTAATGATAAAGATTAAATTTGTTGTTTACTCTGTCACTGACAGAGAGTTTATTATATAAAGTTTAACTGATATTTCCTTTTTCTCCCCCAAAAATGTATGTCTAATTCTGTACCTCTAGTTCATTACCTCTCTTTCAAAAATGGGTAGCATTTTTTATCATCAGTCCCTAGAACCATACTTGGTTACTGAATTGATCATAATTTACTGTAGTGTCCTTGCATAAATAGTTCTGTTCCTACTCAATTCTGCTTCGATTCATACAAGTCTTCCCATATTTCTCTGATCCCATTCCTTTCATTATTTCTCACAGCACAATAATATTTCATTACGTTCATAAATCAAAATTTGCTTATGCTTTCCCTTATTGAAGAGCACTTTTTAAATTGCCAGTTCTTTGCCATCACAAAAAGAGCCACTATAAATGTTCTTGTACATATTCTTTCTTTCTTTGATCCATTTCGGAAACATGCCAGTGTTATTGTTGATTCAAAGGATTTAATGACACTTTTTGGTATACTTTTTGGGTATAGTTCCAAATGGTTAGACCAATTCACTTCTTCACTAGTAGTCCATTAATATATACTTAGCCTCCCACATCTCTTCCATTAATTGTCATCATCCTTTTTTGGTCATCTTTACCAGTCTGATGGATATGAGGCAGAACCTCAGAGTTGTTTTAGTTGGCTTTTTTTCCCCCAATCATTAGTGATTTGTAGCTTTTTTTCCTATGGTTGCTGATAGTTTTGATTTCTTCCTTTAAGAATTGTCTCTTCATAGCCTTTGACCATTCAGCTATTGGGAATGGCTCTTGTTCTTATACGTTTGAATCACTTCCCTGTAATTAATAATAATAATAATAGCTAGCACTTACATAGCAACTGTTATTTGCCAGGCATTGACATAAGTGCTTCGTAAATATCATTTCATTTTATCCACACAACAACCCTGGAAGGTAGGTACCATCATTATCCCCATTTTACAGTTAATGAAGTTGAGGTAAGAGAAGTAAGTTAAGTACTTGCCCAAGGTCTCACAGCTAGTTAGTGGTTAAGACCTTATTTGAATTCAGATCTTCCTGATTCCAGGCCCATCACTCTATCCATTGTACCACCTAACTGCCCTTATGTCCTACAAGTCAGAATTTTATCTGAGAAACTTGCTGCAAAGGTTCCTCTCTCCCCATCCCCAGGCTAACTTTTCCTTCTAATTCTAAGTATACTGATTTTGTTTGTAAAGAATCTTTTCAATTTTATGCAATCAAAATTGGCCATTTTCTCTCGTATGGTCTTCTTTGTGCTTTGTTTGGTCAAGAACTCTTCTGGTATATCCACAGTTGTAAAAATAGCACTGTCCCTGTACTTTTGATTTGGTTGATAATATTTTATCTAATATTTTTGTATTGATATTCCTTTGTGATA